ATATTTGGATGGTTATAAAGGCTCAGATGTGATAATGAGAAGATAAAGGGGCTATTGAAAAGGGGCTAATGAAAAATGAGTGTATGGAAAAAAATGGTAATACAATGGTATATAGTATGAGAACAAATAAGAGGAAGTTTGACTTGTAGTCCATCACATTAATCTTTGAATCATGATGTCATCACTGAAGTTTTGTCAAAGCTACTGAAGAGAAAGGAGGACACTGTTGTGTACATTTAAGATGTGTATTAGGTGTGCACATATGCTTAAATAGCCATCACTTTTATATTCACTTGTATCAGGACAATAGTTGGTTTCACCTAGTTTAGTGTCTATGAAAGTTAACCATCTATGTGTTTCCCCCCCAAATATATTTCTTATATCTCTATTAAATGTTTTAGTATGATGTATACCTAATTTTTGAACATTTCCTCAGAAGACATGTGTAATATCTTTAATTATTAGTAGTCTGCCTTTTGAAGATAAATTTCCAATGAATGTGGGTTACAATAGCTGCTGTGATAACAGCAAGCTTTTTTTTATAGACACATGCAAGAATTTTTAATGATAAATATTTTAATTCTCTTGTCTTTGTTTTCTGCTACTTGTAAGCCTGCCATTAGATTTAGTAGAACATTTCCTTAGTTGATGGTAGTGTTGGTTTCATGTCAGTCACCCAGTAAACCAGCTTAGCATTTAAAAGTGCTAAGTTCTCTGTATGTACTCCTCTAATTTTTTTTTCCCTTGTAGTGGTTTTATTGGAATAGAGTCTAAATAGTTTGTATTTTTGTGTGTGTGCAGAGGCAGTGTTTAAGACTATAATTCTCAGTTTTCATCAGAATACTTTGGCATGAATTCAAATGGTTGCACCTCTTTTTATTTCATACTGATGTTCAATTCAATATCCTCAAAATACTAATACCTTTAAATATATTACATCTTTCTTCTCAATTACAGCTATAATCAAAAAAGGAAATATGAAATATAGCCCATATATATTTAACAATTTTCCTATGTGCAGTATATTATCCAGTCAGTAAATGGATTCATGCCTCATTTTTCTAATTGCTCATTTCAGCACTTACCTGCCTATTCTGAAACTATGAAGAGGTATGCTCAAAAAATGATACGTATGCATAAAGAATGAATTAATGGAACCAGGTGAAATAAAGATGCCTGTATTATGATAGAAGGAAATGTCATGTGTACATGGTTAACTCTTGTTCAGAACATCCTAGATCTAAATGCTTTAAGACTAATATAACGGCCGGCGCCGCGGCTCAATAGGCTAATCCTCTGCCTTGCGGCACCGGCACACTGGCTTCTAGTCCCGGTCGGGGCACCGGATTCTGTCCTGGTTGCCCCTCTTCCAGGCCAGCTCTCTGCTGTGGCCAGGGAGTGCAGTGGAGGATGACCCAAGTCCTTGGGCCCTGCACCCCATGTGAGACCAGGAGAAGCACCTGGCTCCTGCCATCGGATCAGTGCGGTGCGCCGGCCGCAGCGTGCCGGCCGCGGCGGCCATTGAAGGAAGACCTTCCTCTCTGTCTCTTTCTCTCTCTCACTGTCCACTCTGCCTGTCCAAAAAAAAAAAAAAAGTAATATAACAGAATTGGATTAGCAGGTCATAATTAAAATGTTTAAAAATTGTATCTGTTTAAGACATGAGAATTACTTCATCATATTAAAAGCAACTATTTTAAGTTGGTAATTATTTTAAGATGCTAAAAGTTACATGAATATGCTTTAATATCTAACAAAACACCATTAAATTGCAGACTGTTGCTAAAATTAAATGAAAGGCTTTTTTTTTAAACTTTTATTTAGTAAATATAAATTTCCAAAGTACAGTTTATGGATCACAATGGCTTTTACCCCCTATAACTTCCCTCCCACCCGCAACCCTCCCATCTCCTCCCTCTCCCATTCCATTCACATCAAGATTCCTTTTCAATTATCTTTATATACAGAAGATCAATTTAGTATATATTAAGTAAAGACTTCAACAGTTTGCACCCACACAGAACATAAAGTATAAAATACTGTTTGAGTACTAATTATAGCATTAATTCACATTGAACAACACATTAAGGACAGAGATCCTACATGAGGAGTAAGTGCACAGTGACTCCTGTTGTTGACTTAACAATTTGACACTCTTGTTTATGGTGACAGTAATCACCCTAGGCTCTTGTCATGAGTTGCCAAGGCTATGGAAGCCATTTGAGTTCACCAACTTTGATCTTATTTAGACAAGGTCATAGTCAAAGTGGAAGTTCTCTCCTCCCTTCAGAGAAAGGTACCTCCTTTGACGGCCTGTTGTTTCTACTGGGATCTCACTCACAGAGATCTTTCACTTGGTCCCCCCCAACCCCCCCCTTTTTTTTTGTTTTGCCAGGGTGTCTTGGCATTCCATGATGAAAGGCTTTCTTGAAGGAGATGGCAGGTCTGATTAATTTATGATTATTTGTAGATTGAAAGTCTTAATTTAGGCTAATTCTATTCAAAGTAAACTTTTGAAAAGTAAGTTTGGAAGTATTACTATATATGTGATATTAATTTTCTCATCAAATTATGGTGTAGAATAGGTTATTTGTAAGTATTCTCATATCTATTTTTCACATTTACAAGTGCAAAGTAATATTGAACTGCACTAGATTTCTAATCTTTTTCTCATCTAGCATATTTTCAAATGGAGATAAGGACTGGAGAAATAAGCAACAATAGACAAACCAAGACTGTGTTAGCAGATGAGGGTAGCAATATGAATTGCCTGAGTTGGCTATAATGTTTAAGAATAATTAATTGTGTGCTATTTCACTAATTTTAGATTCTATTCAAGGTTTGAAAAAAATTGAAGTAGGTGACTTGTATTCATAAGAATTTTAGTCTAGAATGATCCTAACAAGGTAACCCTCTAGTAAATAAACCAAGGCTTGTTAGTATACTAGAGAAATTTTAATAGTTACAGAGAAAATAAAACATTACTTTTAGTAATGTGAAACACCATGTGATTCATATTTTTATAGTAGTTGGGAAATAATTAAATATATATTCATAAGCATAGAAATACTATGATGGTACGTAGGTAATATATATTTCAGACCTGATAGTGCTTAATTTAAATTTGCTACATCTGGATCCTAACAATAATTGTAGCTACTTAAGAGTAAGTAATTTGAATATTTGTGAATATGTTAATTTAGTGAAAACTGAGAATTCTTCATTACCAAATAGACAAAAGGCAAGTCTATATTAGATGTTGTCAAAGAAAATAATTTTTACAAAGGTGTGGGAAAGTTTATATCCTATCCCAGTCTTTTAGTTCACTGTGTTCTTTACTGCCCATTAATTCAATGACCTTGGGCAGATTATTTAACTTCAGACCTGTAGTATTTTCTTTTTTTTAAAACTTTTATTTATTAAATATTAATTTCCAAAGTACAGTTTATGGATTACAATGGCTTTCCCCCCCGATAACTTCCCTCCCACTCGCATCCCTCCCATCTCTGCTCCCTCTCCCATTCCATTCACATCAAGATTCATTTTCAATTATCTTTATATACATATGATCGATTTAGTATATATTAAGTAAGGATTTCATCAGTTTGCACCCACACAGAAACACAAAGTGTAAAATACTGTTTCAGTACTAGTTATAGCATTACTTCACGTTGGACAACACATTAAGGACAGATCCCACATGAGAAGTAAGTACACAGTGACTCCTGTTGTTGACTTAACAATTTGACACTCTTGTTTATGGTGTCAGTAATCTCCCTAGGCTCTAGTCATGAGTTGCCAAGGCTATGGAAGCTTTTTGAGTTCACCGACTCTAATCATATTTAGACAAGGTCGTAGTCAAAGTGGAAGTTCTCTCCTCCCTTCAGAGAAAGGCACCTCTTTCTTTGATGGCCCGTTCTTTCTACTGTGATCTCACTCACAGAGATCTTTCATTTAAGACCTGTAGTATTTTCATTTATAGAATATTGTCTTCAATAACTGTTATTGGTTAGTTAACAAAATCATGTATGTGAAGGAACTTTGTTAATTATGAATCATCCCACAAAATTTAACTGGTGGATTTAGTATGGCTGAGATTGCCAAAATAATACTCAGAGATCGATAGTTTTGTCATATCCCTTAATAGTTATATTTTCAAATGCATAGTTAAATGGGATAATTTTAGTAGATTCCTTTTTTGAGGGGGTAGTTAATGAAATAAAGTGACCAGTTTTAAAAGTGTGTGAAAATGCTGATTGCTACATATTTCTTTTACATTTTAGAAAACGTGGTTTGGGGAAGGGAAATTGGTATTCAGAAATGATTTAGTGTGCCTATAGCCAGGAGATAGGAAAGAATTTACATTTAATTTTGTAGTAAAGATGATATGTTCAGTGTACTTTTTATTAGTTATACATGAATTAGGGAAATTTCACGCAATGAGTACTGTTTTAGAATGTTTACTCCTATTTTAAAATGTTGCTTTAAAGCATTTAAAAGTTTTACTGTGTTCATTGTCACTTCTTTGATTAGGTAATATACGTTGTATTTGGTTGTTGTTTTATCTTCCCTTGAAGGCTTTTGGCTTCTTCAATAGATTTTTTTAAATTTTCATAGAATAAAAATGGTAAGTATCTGTATTCTTGGTCTAGTCTTGAAGAACAGTAATATTTTTGTCACCTTTTAGAGTAATTGTTTTCATTCTTAATCCTTTCTCCTTCACACATTCTCTGACCACAGGAATAGATTTACTTGTTGATGACTGACTAGGGCTATCCTTTTCATAATTTGAAGGACACAAAGCTGGGTGCTCAGGTAGAAGGAGAAAAGGGTGTTAGCATAATGGTAAAAAATTAATCAGTCAAATTTGGGTTCCTCTGGGCTGGCAGTAGGATAAGATACTTCAATCATGCAGTCTCTGCACATTGTAGAAAGTAAAATATGCAATATCATAAACTCTTTAAAATTGTTTGAAAAGACTAATCTTTGTTACTTTACAGATGTTCCATTTAAGCAGACCTCTTCTATAGCAGTTGCTGGAGCTGTAATTGGAGCTGTTCTTGCCCTTTTTATCATTGCGATCTTTATGACTGTGCTGCTGACTCCAAGGAAAAAGAGACCATCCTATCTTGACAAAGTGTAGGTAACTTTTCTGCCTGTTTTCAACTGTGCGTATTCATTATCCATTGGTCTTTATATGTCTCTTTACAGCTACACATACATAGAGTCCAAAGGATGGAATGAAGATTATATTACTTTTGTTAAATGACCATACTTGGTCCAAATGTCTCAAACTACTCTTGATAAATGGACAATATCAAGGGGCTGCTGGAGACAAATATATTGGATATATTTTACACAATAGCTTATTAGACATCCTTCTAAATGGCAGCATAATGATACTTTATGTTGTTCTGCCTTCTGAATAGCAAAGTGGGCCTCTGTTGAAGTAAGTAGTTTTTGAAAAACAAATATAAAAATATTTTAGAAATTTTAATTACTTCTTAAATGTGTATGCTTGTCAGCTACTAAGAATTATTATATAGATTGAGTTTTTAGATTTACTTATTTATTTGAAAGTTGGAGTTACACAGAGAGAGAAGTGTTCCATCCGCTGGTTCACTCTCCGGATGGCTGCAATGGCTGGAGGTGTGCTGATCCAAAGCCAGGAGCCAGGAGCTTCTAGGTCTCCTACACTGATACAGGGGCCCAAGGACTTGGGCCATCTTCTGCTTTCCCTAGCCATAGCAGAGAGCTGGATTGGAAGTGAAGCAGCCGGGACTCGAACTGGAGCACATATGGGATGCCAGCACTGCAGGCAGCGGCTTTTCCTGCTACGCCACAGCGTTAGCCCCTAAATAGATTGAGTTTTAAAGTTTTTTTTTTTTTTCATTAAGAAAAATACTGGGTGATTATAAAATAGGCATCATTTCTTTAAAGAATAAATAATTCTTTCACCTAATCATTGAATTAGAATTGAAAGTCCTAAATTGCACCTTGTTTCAAATGAATCAAATGGGGCAACGTTTGGAGTCTCTTAATTACATTGATAGCTTTGGTGCTTCATAAGTGAAATGTGAATCATACTGTACCTACTTAGCTTGTTGTGATGAGGATAGAACAAATTAATGTTTTATAAAAAATTCTATATATATGGCATTATTTTTGAGCAGTTATTAGTTTTTAATATTAAAGCCACAGCCTAGCTTTTAAAGAGTATATTTCTTTTATACTTATAAATGCTTTGTATATATCTCTGCTCTCTATTATGACACAATTATAGCAGTGGTCTCTGTGGATTTAAAACACATCAGAATCAGTTTCAGCTTTATCATAGTCAAATTAGTAGTATGACCGTGAACAATTCCTTTTACTTCCATAATTTTCTTACCTAAACAACCTATGGCCCCTCATAGTCAAATTAGTAGTATGACTGTGAACAATTCTTTTTACTTCTGTAAGCCTGATTTCTTACCTAAACAGCCTGTGGCCCCTCAAAGCTGTAAATTTTGCTGTGATTTTCATTAGACAAAAAGAAACAGCTATTTTGTACAAAGGACAGCAAAGTATTCTTGCACAGTAATACCTGTGACACTGGAGTTTTTCAAGAGTTAGTAGCATGTTGTCAGCATCATGTTGGTTCCCAGATTATCTGAGCCTTTTCTATGGTCTTAAAACATATTTTACTAGTAGGCTAATAAATTCATGTAACCATTTTATTTATTGTTTGGATTCTGTTCATATAAAGTTTTACTTTATGCTCTTAAAAATTGTCAGACTACAGAGGATTTATTACTTCATCTGTAGCTTTGACTCCCTTTATCCTTTAGTAAAGATAATCTTCATTTACTAATTAAAAGTACTGAAAAAATCTGTAATTTTCAAAAGTGTGGGTATATGTAATTTTCTAAATTACAGAGGTCTATAAGTTATAATTAAATTTATTTTTATAACTATTTGATATGTATGAAAATATGATTTTTGTTTTATAAATTAGGTCATTTTGGAAAAAATAAGTGCCTTCCTTGAGAATATAATGTTCCCTTTGTTTATTTCAGGTGGCAAGATTTATATATGTAGATTACAAATCTTAGATTGTGTGGTAAATATTCTAAATGATGAAGCCTTTTGAAAATCAGTTTTAGAAGCATTTAAAATACATTATAAACTTTTTGTCATTTAAGATACAATCTTTTAAAGTACTTTTATGCCACGTTGGAACGAAATGTAATGACACACATATTTGACTGTCTTTAAAATCTTGGTAGGCAAAGTTAAATGTGAAAAAGTGGTCCTATGCCAAATTACTTAATTATAATTTTCAAAAAAAAGCCTTCTGTGTGAATTTCTTCTTTAACCATCAACTAGCTTGATCATAAACATTGGAAAAATCTTTGATAGATGAAAGGAAATACAAGAACTGAATTAAACATGTAGACTAGGATAAAATTATGTATTTATGTATTGTAAAAAAATATCCTCAAAGTTTATGAGAACCTTGAAATTTTGGTTCTTTTTCTTTCTTTTTTTTCCTAAATTTGACAGTCACCTTATCCAACCCTTTTTAATGCAGGATTGACCTTCCACCCACACATAAGCCACCTCCTATGTATGAAGAACGATCTCCCCCTTTGCCTCAGAAAACCCTCCTATATCAGGTATGTGTTCCTGAATATACTTATTCTAAAATACAGTAAAAATATGTAGCCATTTTTGATTTCTCTTGGAATGTCTAGTCATTATATCTTAATTATTACATAATAATATCTAATTCTTAACATGCTCAGTCATTTCTCTGAAACATTTTGGTAATCAAACCTTGTCTACAAATTATTAAGAAAAGTTATGATGAGCATAGCTAAGACCCATCAGCATGATGTTAGGCTTTTTACCAAAAGTTGATGACATATAGTTGATGACATATTAGTATAGTTTTTTGACATGCAGATTCATTGTAAAATATGCATTTTATATAAAACTTAGAAATGTTGAATGTCTTTGGAGGAGTATCATGAAGAACTTATTTTTTTTTTTGTCTTATTCTTTCTTACCTATAAAAGATACTGAGGTTGTATAACACTGTATCCAGAATTTACCTCTAGGGATAATCTGTGGTATTTTCCTCCTAAAATGTATCTAGCTTTGGTTTAAATAAGGCAAATTATTTGTCAACAATTAATTTTTTTAATTTAGTAGGAAAATGCTAAAGGAATGTTTCTATCAAGATGTCAGCTTCTATTCCTTTGCCAGCTGTACATTTAATAATAGTTAACTTTACAAGCACTAAACAGGAAGGAGCTTTTCCTCACATGTGTACCCACTGTTGGTAGGCACCATCTTTGTCATTAATTCAAGTTAGGTGTCCTGAGGTTGAAGATATGCCATATTTTAGACCTCTTGACTTTTAAGCAGTAGCATAATCTCTCACTTTTGGCAAGTAACTGAAGGTGACAAGTAGTGTGAAATGTTGACAAGATACTTAGCTATGGCTGTTGTTAGATGCTGTAGATAAGCCATTTTCCTCCCTTAGCAAAGCTAGTGATCTGTCCGAGGATTTCTAGATTAGTTTGGGAAAGTTTTTTTTGGAAGATTCTTAGAGATTTGCATTTTTTAGGATAACCTTAATTGGATATAATATTAATCTTTTCAAGTTAACAATGGATTATATGGCTTGTTATTTATATTCTCAAATATTTATAAATGCATCTGAGTTGGGAAGAGTTTTTTGGCTCAGGTCATGTGACCTGGGGTTCAGTCAAGGAAATGTGGTTGCTATATATACCAGTGTAGATACTGCTTAAATAAATACAAAAGGAGGATTTTTCTTGGATGATTTGAGTTGACATTGGTATATACTGCAGTTTCTATTATGGTTGGATTAAGAAACTTCCTGGTTGGATTATTTTGGAGACTGGAGTTTTCACATTGGGGGTGAAATTATTCAGTTGCTGAATAGTCATTTTTATTAATAGTAAGTTGTATAACTTTGGAAGTCATGAACCTGGGTGGAAACAAAAACTTATATGGAAAAGGAATGAAAGATGTTTCAGAAAATTTACAGCAAACCTAAAAGGTACAGCAAACATTGGGCTTTAGAGAGTCAGAGCTGATTCTGTTACCTCAGTTGCAAAATTAATCAGTTGAAAACATTGTTTCCTTTCTCTAGCTCTAAAACTGCTCTGGAGAGTGAGAGCTTGAGTTGGATGTGAAATAAACAACTTCATTCTTAATTCCATTAAACATTTAGTAATAAAATTTAAGCTAAAATCATCATCTATCTGTAAAATAATGTATTATGATTCATGAACGCTAATGTCATATGTTGGTTATATGGATGTTGGTTTTTTGTTTAATCTTATCAGTATGGAAATTGTATAGTAATTGTCTCCTGGTTACCAAGAAATCTGTTTATGTAATTATTTAGCTTCATGCATTGATGGCATACTTTAATAGTAAATGTCTTGTAATGTTCCACTGCTCTAGGTAACTTGTCAACTTTAAACTCATGAAATTATTCCTGCTTAGTCTTTAGTCGTGAGTCTCATATAGTGAGGAGGGTCTCATGCCTCCAGAATGCCACCAGTGGCTTTAAGCAAGAGACTCCCATCACTTCTACCCTGAGGGAGCAATCTCTCCCTGCTCAACTGCTGATTTTATGGTAATAGTGACAGAAGTCAGCCTGGAGAGTTTCTCCTCTACATATTGGGGATTGAGGTCTGGTATTGAGAAGTGGCAGTTTCCTTGCGTCGAACTGTTTGTAAAGGTTTGTGGCGGCACGCATCTGAGGGTACTGAAACAAAGTCATGGAAAAATAGAATTAAAGGATAAGTTTATTTTATGCTGAAATTTTAGAAATCCAGGAATTTTTAGTGTATATTTTAATGGACTTATTATAGATCTTATTATAGACCTAATATTTATGATTTAAAAAATTTTTGTATCAAAATAACTTGGAAAGGCAGGCATTATGGCACAGCAGGTTAAGCCACTGAGGGCTGGTTTGAGTGTTGGCTATTCCACTTCTGATCCAACTCTCTGCTGATGATCGTTCGGCTACTTGAGATCCTGCTACCCATGTATGAGACCTGGATGGAGTTCCTGACTGGCTTTGGCCTCTTTTGGCCCTAGCTATTGGTTAGTGAACCTGTAGATGGAAGATCTCTCTCTCATTCTCATTCTCATTCTCATTCTCATTCTGCCTTTCAAATACATAAATATTTAAAAAAAGAACTTATATTTTAATTCTACTTTTCTGCAAACTTGTTGCACTAATGTCATATATGTGTTGATGTTTTTTCTATGTTAAGTACTCTGTATCATAAAATGGAATATATGCATAAAGTCCTTGTATGATTGAAACAAGATTTTTCAGGGTCTAAATGGAAACTAACTGAGAAACTATCAATTGCAGAGAACTTTGGTATAATATCAAAGAATTTTTTTAGTTATCTGATGACTACCAAAGTAGTCCTTCCTCTTCCAACTGCATATCTGTGTGAAGCTGTTTTTGTTCTTTAGATACCGTCAGCTAAACAACATATTGCAAGATTGAGTAGTAATAGCAGATAGGAAAATCAGGATTTTTTCTTTTCACCCAGGCATTGTTAAAAATTGTAAAAATGGAATTATAAGAATGGTACTCTTCTCACTAAGCTTTGTTTTAGAAGTATTATTTTTATTTAAAAGATCTTACTCATACTAATATAGAATATATTCACTCTTTTTTAACTTTTATTTAATAAATATAAATTTCCAAAGTACAGCTTTTGGATTACAGTGGCTTTTTCCGCCCCATAACTTCCCTCCCACTTGGCAACCCTCCCCTCTCCCGCTCTCTCTCCCATTCCATTCAACTAGTACTCAAACAGTACTTTACACTTTGTGTTTCTGTGTGGGTGCAAACTGTTGAAATCTTTACTTAATATATACTAAATTGATCTTCTGTATATAAAGATAATTGAAAGTGAATCTTGATGTGAATATATTCACTCTTAAAGGTTAAATATTTTAAGAAATTATTAACTTTTATATATAATATGCTGAATTTGGGTAGCTGTTACCCACATAGATAATTTTAGTCCTCAAAAGGTAAACCTGTGAAGGAGTCCTGAGGGCAAAATATTGAGAACCTCTGCTGCATACTGTAAGCAATGTGAATGCAAGGATGCTGTCACTGTTGTGTAGAACTGCACAACAGAGTACTTGGCACACAGTGGGTAACTGATGCACTTTTTAAAATTTTTTTAATGCTGAAAAGTTTTATTTATTATATATAACATGTTTTGATATATGTCTTTAACAGAGCTAGGTCCATGTCAAAGCTGGGAGCCAGGAATTCAACCCAGGTTCCCAACGTGGGTGGCAGGGACTCAATTACTTAGGCCTCCCAGAATTGCCTTTAACAAAAAACTAGAATTAAGAGTGGAGGGATGTGGGCAAAGGATGTCACCACTAGCCTAAATGTCAGCTTCCAAACTGTGGTTTTAAAAAAAACTCAAGTTTGAGAGTTAGAGATATATCCTTCAGGTATGTTAGTTTCAGTTATCAATCATGCCATATTTCATTTAAGCCTCTCTTGAACCTCTTTTTCCGTATGTTCTTTATAATATCATAGACTTCCCTGGCCACAGCAGAGAGCTGGCCTGGAAGAGGGGCAACCGGGACAGAATCCGGTGCCCCGACCGGGACTAGAACCTGGTGTGCCGGCGCCCCAAGGCGGAGGATTAGCCTAGTGAGCTGCGGCGCCGGCCAATAGGTAACTCTTTTTAAATAATCATCAGTGGTCTGGTTTTTGTCCTCCTCCCCCCAATATCTGGATTTTGTACCATGCTTACAGATACTACTAGTAGTTAGGATCTTTGGAGTCAGGAGATCACAAGGAAAAAGATGATAGAATTACTTACACTTGTCTTCAAGATTGGAAGAAAGTGTGACTGAGTGGATCATTCAAGTAAATAAATACTGAATATTTCGAGTATGATTTTTGCCTTCAAGTAGCAAAAAAAAGTTTTCATCTTACATATTGCATTTTGTTGGTATGTAGTGGAGTTAAGTAGCAAGAATTATGACACCTTTTTCTGGGTTGAGGAGGATAAAAATTTGGTAATCAACAAGGCTGGATGAAGCAATGATTTATAAATTACTATTATTTAGGGAGAGCTTTTCAAAGTAAAATACATATATATAATTAAGGTTAAATATCAAAATATTTGTCAAATTATTAAAATTCATTCAACTGAGATACAGATGCAACATTTAATCTATAAAATTTATATTTACTATATCAAAGCTATTACAAAACGATCTTAAAATGAGAAAAAGATAAACCTTCTTTACAAAGTTTTATTGCAATTAATAAATTTTGCTGCTTCCTTAAAATAGTGTCTGACACAGAGTACTACTATGTATTTACTGTTATTGGTTATTAAAATGAGAAGCCCTGCAATCCTTTTTTTTTTTTTTAAGATTTATTTATTTATTTGAAAGGCAGAGTTACAGAGAGGCAGAAGCTGAAAGAGAGAGAGGAGTATCTTCCGTCTGCTGGTTTACCCCCAAATGGACATAATGGCTGGAGCTGGGCCAGTCTAAAGCCAGGAGCCAGGAGCTTCCTCTAGGTCTCCCACAAGGGTGCAGGGTGATAGAACAAGGACATAAGCCT